AAGTCAGTCAGAAAGACAAATACCATATGATTTCACTCATGTGGAATTTAAGAAATCTAACCGATGAACATAGGAGAAAGGAAGGCAAAATAAGATAAAAATAGAGAGGAAGGCAAGCCATAAGAGACTCTTAAATACGAAGAGCAAACTGAGGGTTGCTGGAGGGGAGGTGGGTGGGGAGATAGGCTAAATGCGTGATGGGCATTAAGGAGGGCACTTGTTTGGATGAGCACTGGGTGTTATATGTAAGTAATGAGTCACTGGGTTCTACTCCTTAAACCAATACTATAGGCATTGAAAATACCTATAAATAATTATGAGCCAATGATGCTAATATATGATGACACAATATTCTGCCAAATATTAATGTAAGAACTATAAATTGATGACTTGAGTGCCAAGTCTTTGACATGTTTTATCCCATTAACCTTCCCAAGAACTGTGTGAAGTACAGGCCCACACCACAGAATCTCCCCAGTAGAAAATCTCTTGGTTTTTTATGACCAAACCTCATAGAACATATTTCTTTCTCAGTACAGCATTTTTGTGCCTTTGTTTATACTGGGGGGAAAATATACTTTTGTCCACAAAACTCTGTATAACTTTTTAAAAAACAAAATGAGGTGTGGGAAAAATTTTGATTTATACTCTAGATAGAATTGGTCTAAAGAACGTCCAAATCATTTGTAGACACGTTGAGAACCACGCAGAATTTAACAATGAGGCTGTGCATCTTGGTTGTTGCTGCTACTGAGATGCAATTTCTCCCGATGCGTCACCACCAAGCCTCTAACATTTAGCTCTGGCTTTTGCTTAGTAGTGTTTGACAAAGAGTCCCTCCCAAAGATGAAAAGACATTGAGAAAACTATGGGAAAAGAAGTGAGTGATCAAGGTGTTTATTTTTTTTTCAATATATGAAGTTTATTGTCAAATTGGTTTCCATACAACACCCAGTGCTCATCCCAAAAGGTGCCCTCCTCAATACTCATCACCCACCTCCCCTCCCTCCCACCCCCCATCAACCCTCAGTTTGTTCTCTGTTTTTAAGAGTCTCTTAGGCTTTGGCTCTCTCCCACTCTAACCTCTTTTTTTTTTTTTTTCCTTCCCCTCCCCCATGGGAAATTGTGGTTTATATACATAATGGAGTACTACATGGCAATGAGAAAGAATGAAATATGGCCCTTTGTTAGCAACATGGATGGAACTGGAGAGTGTGATGCTAAGTGAAATAAGCCATACAGAGAAAGACAGATACCATATGGTTTCACTCTTATGTGGATCCTGAGAAACTTAACAGATCAAGGTGTTTATGATGGGAGAGAAGACACCACTGAATATAAAGCAACTTTTTGTTAAGACTGTTTTGGTTATTATCAGAAAATAAACACTTGAAGCCATTTTTAACCTCACATTTTCTTGTTGCATACATACATATTAATTTTACTGTGTTTTCATTAAGTTGCAGGATGTCATTGCATGTTTTATAATGCATTATAATTTTTTTCAATTAAAAATAATGGAAAACAGGCTCCCTGTTGGCATTTTCAGGTGGAACCTGATTTTCAGCAATAGCTTACTGATGTTAAGCAGGAGATACCTGTTTAGTGTTAGTATTATACCATTTTACAAAATGGTGTAGAGAAGACTAAGACACTTGCCCAAACTCCCATACCTGGGAAGCTGGCTCCAGAGGCTGTGATCTGCCCCCTGTGACACTGTCTCCATTGTGGCCCTGCTACAGATGGTGTATATTTCTCATCAACATTTCTCAGAGTTTTTGGCCAATAGGCTATTAGGTTGGAATGTTACTAGATTAATATACAGTATCATCTAAAAGGGAGTTCTGTGGCTAATTAGATTTGGGAAATGCTGCATTTAACAAAAGAAAATGTGTTACTTTACTTTTCAGAACCAAATGTATAATGCAGTTCTCTAAGATTGGTAGTTGAAATGATTTAGCATTTCCTAGATTTATTTGTTTGAAGTTTGTATAGATTAAGCATGGGATTGGTAGTATAAAATATGTAACTTGCAAGTTGTGTGTGTGTGTGTGTGTGTGTGTGTGTGTGTGTGTGTGTGTAGATCTAGAGAGACATATATAGTTACACCTTGTAACATTCCAATACTGACTTAAGCAAATGTGTGTTTATTTGTCTTGCGAAACAAAAAGTCTGAGGCAGGGCAGTCCAGGGCCAGATTCATTTCTCCTTCCCATTCTGCTCTACCAGCCATAACAAGCAGTCATTCATAGTTTTCACCTCATAGACACCAGACTTTGCTGCACAGATTTTGCTGCGTATATCTGCTGCACAGACTATCCAAGCCTTATAGCTGTTTCTGAGGCCAAAGAAAAGGTCAAGAGGCAGCCCCAGCACTCCCACTTACATTTCACTGACCAGAGGAGCATCACACATCCACTCCACAGGACTTCTCCCAGATACAGGGAGCCTGTGAATTGGACTTTTGACTTTTAAGCCTCTGATTCAGTAAGTTGCAATGCAGTGATAAACCACAAAGCTTGATTTCATGCTCACAGGACACACCAACAGCTGTGGGGTGGCTGTGGCTGTGCCTAATGTACCTGTTTCATTTTGGGGTCCAGGCTGAGAGAGCAGCCCTTCTTGGGCTACACACTTCCCATGGTGGAAGGAAACAGGGGATGGCAGAACCGTATAAGGCTCTTGAAGAGTGCTTCAGGATGGTATCTGTTGCCCCCCCCCCACCCCTGCCGCACTGCATTGTCTAATGCCAGTCATATACTAAGGCTGTCAGTAAGGCAGGGAAATATAATCCTCTTACAAAAGACATTGCAGATGGTTGGGCATATCAGCACAATCTTTCCTACATAATAAAAGCAGGCAAGTGAGAATAGACCAGAAATTAAAGTTGAGTCAGCAATATACAGTGTCTGCCACAGTTCACACAAACACACACAGAGACCTACACCACCCACGGCCTTTTTATTTATTTATGTTCCAGAGCATTTCACAGGACAAATATTCATGTCCTTTGGGAGCTGTGATCTTGAGCCAGCCACATCATGTCCCTTTGATGAAATAACTATAAAAACATCCTGGTATAAAATACTTAGCCTTTCATGTGGACTGCAGCTCCATTTAGCATTATAATAGATTCCACTGCAATTGCATGGATAACAGTCTGTGTCACAGTTATGGGAAATTTCGTGTCCATTAAAATCCACCATTGAAAACACAGTCTCTTCAATAAATGATGTTGGGAAAACTGGACAGCTACACGCAAAAGAGTGAAATTGGAGTACTGTCTTACACCATATGCAAAAATAAGTTCAAATGGGATTAAAGATTTTAATGTAAGACCTGAAGCCATAAAACTCCTAGAAGAAAACAGAGGCAGGAAGCTCTTTGACATCAGTCTTAGCGATATTTCTTTTTGGAAGAGTCTCCTCAGGCAAGGGCAACAAAAGCTAAAATAAACAAATAGGACTACATCAAGCTAAAAAGCTTCTGCACAACAAAGGAAACCATAGACAAAATAAAAAGGCCACCTACTGAATGGAAGAAGATATTTGCAAATCATACATCTGATAAGGGGTTAATATCCAAAATATATAAAGAACTTATACCATTTAATATCAAAAGAACAACCAACCAGAGGACTTGAATGGAAATTTTTCTAAAGAAGACCTACAGATGACCAATAGACACATGAAAAGATGTTTGACATTACTCATCATCAGGGAAATGCAAATGAAGACCACAATGAGATACCACCTCACACCAGTCAGATTGCCTATTATCAAAACAAAAACAAAAACAAAAACAAAAAGTAACAAGTGTTGGGGGGATGTGGAGAAAAGGGAACCGTCGTATGCTTTGGTGGGAATGTACATTGATTGGTACAGCTACTACAGAAAACAGTATGGAAGTTCCTCAAGAAATTAAAAATAAAACTACTATGTTATCCAGCAATTCCACCTCTGTGTATTTATCTGAAGAAAATGAAAATGCTAATTCAAAGAGATATGTGCACCCATATGTTTATTGCAGCATTATTTATTTATTTATTTATTTATTTATTTATTTATTTAGAGGGAGAGGGAGAAAGCCCATAAGCTGGGCAGGGACAGAGCGAGCGGAGAGAGAGAATCCCAAGCAGACGCCAAGCTGTTAGTGCAGCACCCACTGCAAGGCTTAATTCTGTGAACCGTGGGATCATGACCTGAGCTGAAATCAAGAGTTAAACTTAACCAACTGATCCAGCCAGGCACCTCTATGCAGCATTATTTAAAATAGCCAAGATATGAAAGCAACCTAAGTGTCCATTAGTAGATGAATGGATAAAGAAGATGTGATAAATATATATATATATGTATGCACATACATATATATATATATATGCACATACATATATATATATATAATGGAATATTACTCAGCCATTAAAAAGAAGAATGAATTCTTGCCATTTGCAACAACATGGGTGGACCTAGAAGGTATTATGCTAAATGGGATAAGCCAGGCAGAGGAAGACAAATACTGTATGATTTCACTCATAAATGGAATCTAAAAACAAAAACAGAACAAATAAAACAAAACAGAAGCAGATTCATAGATGTAAGAAACAAACTGTTAGTCAGCAGAGAGGGGAGGTGTGGGTGGAGTGGAGATGAAATAGGTGAGGGGGATTAAGAAGCACAAACTTCCAGTTATAAGATAAATAAGTCATTGGGGATATAATGTACAGCATAGGAAATACAGTCAATAATGTTGTAATAACTATGGTGACAGATGATAACTAAACTTAGCATGAGGCTCATTTTGTAATGTATGAAAATATCGGATCATGGTGATGTATACCTGAAATTAGTAGGATAGTGTATGTCAATTATTCTTCAATAAAAAAATTCACTATTATGGTGATATAATGAGCTGAGTTTCTTTTTAAGCCAGGAGAATTTCAGAAAATAGAGTCACGTCTAGTTATTAAAGGGTTTTTTTTTCCTTTTCTTCTGAATCAGGTGCTGTCATACCATGCAACATGTTCAAAAGCTGAAGTTGACAAGTTTAAGGTAAGGAAGCAAAGAGTGCCTTGCCAGTACATAATGTTACGCAGCTTTCTGATCCTTCGTCATTTGCCTCTGTAGAATCACTCCCGCCCATTAGGTGTTAAGGAATAGAACTGGGCCTAGGTGTGCTTGGATATTTCAGTCTTAGAGGGTAAAGGGGATTTAAATATAATAGAGCAGCCTCTTCATGATCATTTATTTCTTTCTTTCCGTTTGCCAAGTAGGTGGGATATTAGGGAAAAAAAATCTGTGTAATATGGTAAGAATCAGAACACCTGGCTTTGGCATTGGTTTTTCCTCCAACTTTCTGTTCACTTAAAATCTGTGTATTTTCATCTGCAAAAAATAGGACAATACTAGCTAACACTTGTCAAATACTTACTATGGACCAGGCACAACACAAAGCATTTTACCTGCATTAATTCATTTGAATCTCATAATCCTGTGAAGTATACTGTTTTACAGATGAATAAGTTGAGGCATGGAGATGTTAAGTATATAGGCCAAGATCAAATGATTGTAAGGGTTATAGCCAGGCAATGCAGCCCCAGAACTGGAGTTCTTAACTACCATGTTCACTGCTGTTCAGTGGGACCTTCTTCCAGCTCCAACATTGGATAAGTCTGTGAATGAGTCTTAGATATTCTTTTTCTTTCTTTTTTTTTTTTTAAGATTTTATTTTTAAGTAATCTCCACACCCAATGTGGGGCTCAGACTCACAACCCTGAGATCAAGAGTCACATGCTGTGCCAACTGAGCCAGCCAGGTGCCCCTAGATATTCTTTTTCACCTCAGTCACCACTGTTCCCTTAAAGGCAGCCCAGAATTCTTGTTCCTTTCCCCGCACTTCTAACCAGCCATGGTCAATATATGAGAGCGTGGGAAACCTGATTTTGCTCCCTTATGAAGGCTATGATGTCTGCCTTTTTGTTTTTGTGGAGGTTCAGAGAATTATTGGGTTAACCACCACAACCATAAGAAAGATAGTGTTTTGTGCTGTACCAATACACATTAGTATGTAATAACACTGATGATGGCTAGTCTTCTAATTAGGAGTTTCATTTACACATACATGCATTCATGGAAGAATGGCACAGAGACCTTTGTACCTGATCGTTGAATCAGATCATTAGAGTTGAGTCACACTGATAAAGAAAGGAAACAAGGGAAGACTCCAAATTCAGAGTAGGGATGAGGGAACTGCTCAGAAGGGCAGGGAGCAGCCCATCTAGTGTGGGCATAAAGTAAGCTGCATGGGCTCCATCCAGGGATATGGTCCTATTGGCTTGATGAGAGGCTTAGGAAAAGACATGCAGTGGTAACCCAGATCAGGAAGAGATATGTTGCCAGCAGGAGGTGACAGCTGACAGCAGAGGAAGGAGACAAAACAACCCAAACCATGGCAGTCAGGGCCTTCTTGTTATAGAGAGAAGCATCCTACATACCAGCTAGAATGTGAGTGCCATTAGGGCAACACTTTTTTTTTAAGTTTATTTATTTATTTTGAGAGAGAGAGGGAGAGAGCACAAGCAGGGGAGAGGCAGAGAGGGAGGAAAAAGAAAGAATCCGAAGCAAGCTCTGCACTGTCAGCACAGAGCCCAATGCGGAGCTCCATCCCATGAACCCATGAGATCATGACAAAGCAAGCCAAAATCAAAAGTTGAATGCTTAACCAATTGAGCCACCCAGGGGCCCCAGGGTAGCACTTTTTGTATGTTGTGTTCAGTGCTCTATCTCTACAGCTCTGGGGACACAGTAGTATTCAGTAATGATTTGTTGAATGGATGGATGAATGAATGAATGAATGAATGAATGAATGAATCCAAAAAGCATCAGTGTTCTGTAACTCAAAACAGTTATTCACTAAGAAAATGTTAAAACCATGGTTACATATAATTATTTTTTATGTCTTATATTTTATAAATATGTCCATCAAAAATATTTAAAGTGTTTGTACTTTAATGAAATTTAGTTACCTAGAAATCCTATTTATGGAAATAACTTGCCACAAATATTTTACTGTTCTTACTGTTTTATACTTTATATTTTTACTGCTATTATAACTATCATCATTTCTAAAAGAAGGAAGGGACAGGCAGGAAGAAAGACAGCAAAGCTCACAGTGGGACTAAATATGACTGCAGGAGCTATTTGATGGGACATGTCCAGAATCACAGCAGGCCAAAATCAATAGCTCTGTACTCTCTGAAGGTATTGCCCTTTGTTCGGCCTTAATTCTTAATTCCTTAGAGTAAGGAAAACACTATTGTCTTGGAATTTGCTTTTCTATTGTTAGCTCACAAACATACTAAAAATATGAAGTATTTAAATTTGAGAACAAAGGGTTATTTCATCTTAAAATTATCAAGAGTATTAACTTAGCTAATTTATTCCAGATTTTATCCTGAAAGATATTGGTAAGTATCTTATTACAATGTAATTGAGATATAGTAGATAATTTTAACCTAATGGCTTTTTTTCTTGATATATAAAGTAAACAAAACATTATCATAATTGGTAGCTGATGTCTTGTAACTGCAGCAATAAGATTAAAATGTAGTGAGCTTAAAATAATCCTGCACATAGACACTGAAAAGTATTTACTAAAATTTCACACTGGAATATGTGCAATGGCAGTTTCCTAACATTGTAACTAAATAGCAATAAATAAATGCTTTGTTTTGACGAATATGTACAACTAAACCATGCATACATTCAAATATACTGTAGGGGCACCTGAGTGGCTTAGTGGGTTAAGCATCCCGACTCTTGATTTTGGCTCAGGTCATGACCTCAATGGGTCGTGAGATCAAGCCCTGTGTTGGGCTCCTTGCTGTCAGCACTGAGCCTGTTTGGGATTCTCTCTCTCCTTCTCTCTCTTCCCTTACCCCACTTGAGGTGCTCTTGCTCTCTCTCTCACTCTTTCTCAAAATAAGTATGTAAAAAATGTATATATGTAATAAACTTTGCTACCTACCGTAATTTTTAGCAGAGATATTAAAGAAAAAAGAGAGAGAGAGATTTGAAATCTGGATTCAGAGTTATCTATGAGATTTCATCAGTGCAAGGATTGCTGAGTTGATGGATTATGTGCAGCTGGAACCAAGCTAGTGATCAGTGATTCAGAGATTAAGTCAGGGTTTGGAAGAAATGTCATCAGCTAGTACTGAGAAGGATCTGGAGGTCAAATACAGGTCAGACTCCAGTTACAGCCGAAACTACACTGCATTTGGGATTCAGATATGCTGAGAACGCCAGTGGGATGTGGTTGTTTACGCAAGAGACTAGGAGGCCTCCTAGGCAAGAACTTTTCTTGGTGGAAATTGAGGCCTCTGGATGGTTCCAAGTTCAGCATGGGGTTTGTCTCTTGAATCTGTCCCTTACCACAGCCTCCTATGGATTCATCTTCTCAGCTAAAAACATGAGTAGACACAAAAGGTATGGCCCTTAGTACAGTTTCAGTACAATAAATGACTCCAAGAGCATGAGGGTTCCAGAGTGCCAGTAGAATGCAAGAAAGCAGCAGCCCAATGGAAGGAAGCCTCAGATAGACCAGAAACAAGGCACCTTCTACCAAAATGGCCAGCAAAGGCTAAAGGGATGAATTCAGGCTGAGTGGTCACATTTTAAGGACAAATAAGATATACCCAGGGATGTCTCAGAAATAAGTAGAAGAGAGGGAGATCCTATTGGAGAGGATAATACATACCATTAATTGTTTTCAATTCACTACCATTTGTACTCCTAGGCGGGATGGTTTAAAGGAACACAGATTTCATATATGATAAACCTGTAGTCAATCTTTAATCATCATTAATGCTAGGCTGGTAGCTTCTTACCTTTTTTCATATCTTATCTTCCTATTTCACACCTGTCCATGCTTGGGGATTTCTTTTCCTATTGTGAAATACCATAGGAGAGGGAGAAGATGCTTTTACTTTTGTTTTGCTTTGTTCTATTAACTCTATTTCTCCAGTTGGGAAAATTTCCTCCGTGGGTGTGTGGTGGTAGGTAGGTGAATGGTGCTCAGAATGTGAAAACCATTCTAGAAGAATTCCTGGATTATCTAGCCAGAGTAAGTAGATGAAACAACATATAACTGCTCAGCAAAGAATGTCAGAACCTAAGCTTATTTTTATGGTTCTGACATATTATTTATACCTTGGGATTTTGGAGAACCACTTATACACAAAATGATCACAGAACTTCCTGGAACTAATGAATTAACTTTTTAAAAGTCTGGTTGAGGCTATAATATTAATAATTTATCCTTTACGGGCTGATTGCCTTGTGCATTGAATGAAGAAAGAAGGATTTAAAGAATGGTTTTTATCCTCATTAACATTTACTGATCTTCCTTGAACTTGAAATAAGAAAGGCGTGCACAGAAAATTTGTGCAGATTTTAGTGCCTGTTTATATTTCTTCTGCTTGGTGCTAACAGGAATAATGGATAAAGACCATATTGACAATTAGATCTCTTTGAAGATGACTGGTTTAAAGGCTTTTAATAACCTGAAGATGCCAGCTGTGATAACATAAGAAAATGAGTTTAGTGCACCAATTATATGCTCCTGTAATTTTATGCACTTCCCTAAGATTCCAATGCGGTGGACAGACCAAACAGTTATCACTATATATGCCAGTTTACCAATTAAAATCAACTCATGGACGTTCTCATGTTATATTGCCACCTTTTATCATCTCTTCTTTCAATTCCAAACTGCATGGGTTATGGCTGCAATCAGAGATGAACTCGTTTACAGCACTATTTAACTGCCTCAGTAATTAAACACCAATAACTCATGTTGGGTGTTTGGGTTTGGACTACCTCTTGCATATTTCAAGTTATCAATGTTAATGCCTGGGCCACAAATTAACATCCCGGTAAAGTAAATAAAATAAAATAAAGTGCCAAGGAATAGGTACTCCTTGTGGCCTTTACATAGCTACATCAAAAATAGGACCTTATGGTCTCCTCTGTGAGATGGAGGGCAGGGGACA